TCGGTCCATCCCGTTTGATGACTCTACTAGACTGAGACTTAATTAATATCATTATATTATGGGCTAGTTGCCATGTTTGGGGCCTTGTGCCGATCTGTAAAACCCTTAGGGGGCATTTGTATTGGTAGACCTCACTTTCCTTGTCGAAATCATACCCTCAGTCATGTTCTTAACTGGTAAACATAATATGAACCAGCTTTAGAAATTGTTAAATCCTAATGAGAGTAACGTGGGGGTTGAGAACCCCGTTTTATCTTAGTGTGCCCGAGAGGCCAAGTCTATATTGACTGAGAGGGGTCGAGAACCCCATTGTAAGGGTATTTGATATGCTATGGATCGGGCTGCACGCCACAGCAGTATATATATTTATGCGGATCGGACTGCACACCGCAGTAGTATATTATATGGATCGGACNGTGTGTGCAGATACAGGTATCCCAGAGGCATAGTTTGAGCCTTCTGCTACTGTTCAGCTTATTCCGGAGTCATCGAGGTAGCTGCATGGCGTCCGCAGGACCCGATTTCTCCCCTTATCCTCTTTATTTGCCGCATTCTAGACAACTCTATGTATAGGTTGCTACACAGACTTGTATTAGAGGCTCTTGGCTCGTGACACCAGATCGGTGGGATCTATAGTGATATTTTATGGATTTTTTCCGTACTGTTTATATATTACTACAGAGTTATACTCATGTTAATCTGGCATTAAATCCTATTAATTGGTAATGAATTCTACATAAGGGATTGTGAGTGACGAATTGGTCGGGATTGCCTAGCATCGTGTTGGGCGCCATCACGACCGAGGATTGGGGTCGTGACACTCAGCTGTTGGGTTTCTGGTACTTCCTTCTTCGTGTTCGCAGGAGTACCCACGCGAACGCGATGGGTTAATTGTTGCTGAAGGAATTTCCTTCTACGCGAACGCATAGCTCAGGTCCTGACCACCCGAACACGAAGGCCAAATGGGCCTAGGCAGGGGGTGGGGTAGTTGTCTTACGCGAACGCGAACCCTTGGATGCGAACGCGAGGGCTCGAGGAGATTAATCTTCGCGAATGCGAGCCCGTGTACGCGAATGCAAAGGCTCACTCATCCTGACCATCGCGAACGCGAAGGGTCAGTCGCGAACGCGAAGGGCATTTTCGCCTAGTGATTTTAAAAAGGCCAAAAACAGAACACTTTCGGGATTTTATAAAAATTTCACAAACCTCTTCTTCTCCAAAGCTCTTAGGCGATTTTGGAAGCTTCTCTTCACCATAATCTCTTGGGTAAGTAATCTTTAACTTGTTTTCTTCATTTTCCATCAACACCCACTAGAGTTTTAGGCCTAAAACATGTAATTAAGGGTAGAAACTAGGGATTTGGGTAGAGTTAGGGCTTTTTTATTATTTGTGATTTAGACCTCGTTTTGGGGTCGGATTTGAAAACAAATTATATATTCGGGCTCGTGGGCGAATGGGTGACGGGTTTTGGTCCGAACCTTGCATTTTGACCAAGCAGGCCCGAGGTCGATTTTTGGGATTTTGGGAAGAATGATTGGAAAGTTATTATTGAACATTGGAATTGGATTGTTTAGCACTTATTGATGATATTGAGTCAATTATGTATAGATTCGATTGGGTTGGAGCCAAATTTGAGAGGAAAAGCAGTGTTCGAGGCTTGAGTTGGCCGTGAAAGTTCGAGGTAAGTGTTCGGTCTAACCTCAGCTTGAGGGATTAGGAGTTGAGTCCTAGTTGCTACTTGCTTCTTGTTGAGTGCGACGTATAGGCATGGTGACGATTATCTATACGTTGCTATTGAGCATGACCGTGAGTCTTAAATTTGAACGTTATTGTGCTCTTAGATGGCACTTCGGATGCTTTAATTAATGATCTCCTATATTGAGTAAAGATTGATTTTATCCTCGTAGTTATGATTGAGTATTGTCTTTAATTGAGCTGAGTACAAAATGAGTTAGGATTTGGTTATAGCTGATTCTCCCTTGCCGGGATAACTGTTTCGATATTGTTGTTCCCTTGCCGGGAAGTTATTATATTATTTTTGTTCCCTTGTCGGGATTTCTTGTAATTTTGTGATGAATAAATGGGAGCGGATGGTACGCCTACCATAAGATATAATGAAATGGGAGCAGGTGGTACGCCTATCACAAGATATAATGAAATGGGAGCGGGTGGTACGCCTACTACGAGATATAATGAAATGGGAGCAGGTGGTACGCCTACCACAAGATATAATGAAATGGGAGCGGGTGGTACACCTACCACAAGATATGAGAAATGGGATCGGGTTGCACGCCTGCAACAAGATGAAACTGAAAGTGAAATTTGCCTTATTTATTTTTATCCGTGTTAGAAGTTAAATTGTAGTTTCCTTATTATTCTTTGATATTCTGTTTTATCTGCTACCCCCGAAGCATGTTCCCCTTCCCCAGCTTTGATTACTTATTACCTGTTTACTTTTTCCGCCATATATTATATAACTGCATAGGTTTATCTGGAGTCTGGTCCTAGCCTCGTTACTACCTCGTCGGGGTTAGGCCAGACACTTACCAGCACATGGGGTCGGTTGTGCTGATGCTACACTCTGCACTTATGTGCAGATACCGGAGCAGCATTTAAGCAGCAACATTAGCTCGGGAGCCAGCCTTCAGTCCACCTAGACATTGAGGTAGCCTTGCAGACATCCACAGGCCTGGCGTCTACTCTATCCTATTTTATATTTTGTTATCTCATGTATTCGAGACACACAGTGTTATCTTTCTTTCAAACTGATGTATATAGTATTCTTAGTAGTCCGTGGATGATGTGACACTAGGTTCTGGGTAAAGACATGTATTGGTTTCTAGATATTTGGGTTTCATTTTTATTTAAGACTTCCGCTAAATTTTATTTTTCGCTATCATTTAAATGCTTAATCATTGATAGTTTAACTGGCAAAACATGTATAAAAATGAATGAGTTAGTGGTCTCTAAGTTCATGGCTTGCCTAACTTCTACGAGTAGGCGCCATCACGACTCCCGAGGGTAGGAATTCCGGATCGTGACACACAGCTATCTATCTCATTACAAAACTCCATCTGCTATATCCTACACTCCTCTATACATTCAAAGGAAAATATAATTATGAACTATACTTTGAATACTAGCAGTAGCTCTAACATTACATGTGTATGCTATCTCACGGGCAATACTATTCCAATCACGTGTTCTTTTCTAAAAAATTCTCAAATTTCTCTCAATCCAAATAGCGTGTACTATTTATGCATATACCAGTCTGAATATTCTTGCTCTTGTGGTCTTGCCTTTAGCATGATGCAAGCTCCAGCCCATATACTGCTCCCAGTTCTGCGTCCTGGTATAATCATGTTGCATCCATTGCATAAGTTTTATCCATAGGTTCCTAGTATATTCACACGTGACAAACAGATGGTCTCTATTTTCCTCATGGTTGTGACATAGAGTGCATTGTGTATCCACTGCCAAGCCCCACTTTGCCAGTCTATCTGTGGTTGGGAGTCTTCCATGTAATAGCATCCACATAGTATATTGTGCTTTTGGCCTCGCGCAATTCTGAAACATTAGACACTTCCACGACACTCGGGTTTGTTTTCCCAGCAGCTGAAAGTATATGTGTCTAGTTACACTAGTGTCCTATTTGTTCCTCTGTACTAGACTACAATCAGTTCTTGCACTGAAGATTTGTCTGATCATCCAACAGGCTTGCTTGGGAGCTACCATTTGCATGAATTGTTGCCCTTTGATATATTAGGAGTGAATCCATTTAATCCACAATCTATCTTGCTTTGCTTCCACATCCCAACATATTTTTGAAATAGCAGCCCTATTCTATAGATGGATGTTCACCAGGTTTAGGCCTTCATAAGATTTAGGAGAGCACATCTTTTCCCAGGATATCAATTCCTTCTTAGTTATGGTATTGGTTGCTGACTAGATATAGCTTCGACAATATGCATCAATAGTTTTAAGCACCTTAACAGGTAGAGGTAGGAGCTGAGCCCAGTATGCTTGTACTCCAAAAATTACACTTTGTACTAGTTGTACTCTTCCTGCATAAGATAGTTTCTTAGTTGTCCATGAAGATATCCTTGCTACTATTTTCTGAATGAATGGCTGCCATTGGATCATTGATATCTTTTTTGTTGACAGGGGAATGCCTAAATATTTAAAAGGCATCTCCCCTTGTCCATATCCCAGGAGCTGCAGGATTTTATCTCAATCATCTCTTGGTACCCCTCCAAAATACACTGAACTCTTCCCCATATTTGCTTGTAATCCTGAAGCTTGAGCAAACTGTTTGAAGCATCTGTGCATGACCTTCACTGATGATAAGTCTCCTCTTACAAACAACAATAAGTCATCAGCAAAACTTAAGTGTGTAATACCAAGTTTAGCACATTTTGGATGGTATCTGAAATCTTTGTCCTCTTTTAGGCTATGTAGACTCCTACTTAGATATTTCATTGCAATAGCAAATAGGAAGGGTGACATAGGATCCCCTTGCCTAAGACATTTTTTTGCATCAAAAGGGGTAGTAGTCTCTCCATTGATTAAGATGGTATAATTGACTGTTTTGACACACTTCATAATCCAGCTAGTGAATTGAGTAGGAAAACCCAAATTCTCTCCATTACCTGCTCTAAGTAGATACACTCCACTGAATCATAAGCTTTCTGTAAATCTATCTTAATCATACATCTATCTGAGATGTGTTTCCTTGTGTAAGCTTTAACCAATTCATGTGTCAGTATGATGTTGTCTGCAATTCTCCTCCCAGGTATAAATCCTGCCTAATTTTCACTAATGATGCTAGCAATAAACTTCTGTAGTCTTGCTACTAATACCTTAGAGATCATCTTATAGAGCAGAGTACAACAAGCAATGGGTCTAAAGTCTTTCACTGTGACTGGTTTGTCCATTTTTGGTATTAGTGTAAGGGTAGTGAAATTAAGAGCCTTATACAATTTACCAGTAGTGAAGAATTCTTAAACAGCTGCACAGATCTCCTCTTTGATAATAGGCCATGTTTTCTTGAAAAAGCATGCATTGAAACCATCTACTCCTGGTGATTTGTCATCCCTAATATTCTGCAATCCTTCAAAGATCTCTTGATCAGAGATTTCTGCAACTAGCTGTCTTTTTTGCTGTTGGGATAACATAGGTCCTTGCTTTATGATCTCCCTATTTATTGCAGGTAGATTTGGTGCTGCAGTCCCTATCAGTAATTTGTAGAACTCTATAATTTCATGCTTGATCTTATCAGCATCATTCAACTTCTGCCCATCTAGGGATGTGAGCTCCTTAATCTGCTTCCTTTGATTCCTCTCCTTTAGCATAGCAGAAAAGTACTTGGAATTAGAATCCCCAAGCTTAATCCACCTTGCTCTTGATTTTTGTTTTAGGACACTTTCCTCTATAAGAGACCATTTTTCCAGCTGGTGAATGACAGTTTTCTCTTGCTCCAGTAGGCCATCAGTATAATTTGTGGTAATCTTCTCTTGTATATCTTGAAGTTCTCCACGAGCCTTGTCAATCTTGTCAGCAATAGATCTAAACACCCCATTATTTAAAGTCTTAAGTCTAGGTTTCAAGGCTTTCAACTTCAACCATATATTCTTCATTCTCCAATTTGTCACATTCTACTCCCATACTTTCTGCACTATTTGTACAAATCTGTCATGGTCTGCCCAAACATTTAGAAATCTGAATGGGATTTTGCCAGGCCTTGAATTCATGGAAATTGAAAGAAGCATAGGTGAATGATCAGATATTTGAGGCAAATCATATTTATTTTGTACCTTCCCCATTGTATCATCCATTCAAAGTTTCCAAACATCCTATCTATTCTGCTTCTGATTCTATCAGTTCTATCTTGCTTGTTCGACCAAGTATAGTAATCACCCTTCCATAGCAATTGATTCAACTGCAGAGTTTGAATGCAGCTGGCAAAGTCTTGTGTTTCAGCATATGTTATAGGATTGCCCATTAGTCTATCTTGAGAATATAGAACTGCATTGAAATCTCCTCCAATTATCCAAGGAGTGGTTATGTTTGCAGTCAAGTTATGTATATCTGCCCATAGTGCTTTCCTTTGCTCAATTGTATTGTGTCCATAGACAACTGTTATTAAGCATTCTATCTTCCCTAAATTGTCTATAAGTTGACAATGAACATATTGAGCCCCAGCTTTGATTAACATCACACTATACCATCTTGGATCCCATAATACCCACACCCTACTATTCTGAGCATATTGGTAGTTGTTTATCCCTTCCCAATCTGGAGTAATAGCTTTGATAATTCTCTTGAAATTGTGCTCTTTCACTCTGGTTTCCATTAGGCCAGCTATCTTGACATTTTTGTTTTTGATGTAGTTAGTCAATTCTTTCTGTTTATACCTCTTATTGACTCCCCTCACATTCTAGAATAGCCAATTAATCAGCATGTTAAGTGTCCTCCCCTGTGATATCATAGTATTATATCCCGGGGTATCCCCTAAGATGTAAGCAATTAAAGCACATTTTCACTTCTCAGTCTCAGATTCAACCTCTTCCTTGTCCAATTGAACAACTACTTGGCCATTGACAATTTCCGGGGGAATATATGATAGAGACATACCATTTGCTACAAATCTGTTCTTCTGGAATAGGTTAGACCATGGTTTAGGGTCTACAGCTTTTGTCGCCAAGGCAGGATTCATCACTCCTTGTTCTTCCTCCTCAATTGTTACTGTTGCATTATCTACTGTAGCATGCAGACTATGGTCCTTTGTTTTTTCCTCCAATTGCATTTTTGATGCAGTTGCTGGAGGTATTGTGAGATCTAGCTTCTTCAAAACTCCTGAGCTAGATGCACGCCCAGTGTTCTTCCATTGAGCTCTAGTGTCTGAGTTTAGTTCCAGATATGTTGTTTGCAGATCATTCTCCCTTTCTGTTGTTTTACTGTGTGAGTTAGTAGATCTTTCTATGCTAGTAATTACGATTTTTTTTGGGCCTTCCTCGTCCTCTTCCCCTCCCTCTCGCCATGGATGACCAGATTTAGCGCATCTTTAATTAAATTTTGTGAGCTGAGAGCACTTTTTGAGAATATGTTGGACGTACATAAAGAGGGATGCAATTTTCATTAAGCAAACAAATATATTATAGCTATAGGTATTTTTACTTAAATTTGTGTATAATTCATTTATGGTAGATATCCTTTTTTGAGAAAAAATCAATTAAAATTTCTTTTTTGTATCTTATACATTAATTATAAGTTAAAATAATAATTTTTTATTTAGTACAAGATTTGTATCTAACCTTATTTGCGAACAATATACATTAATATAGGTATCATATATATTATTATAGGTATATTTAATTAAATTTTGTGTATAATTCAGTTATGGTAGGTGTTATTTTCTAACAAAGAAATAATTAAATAATTTTTTTTATTTATGATGGTATCTTTATTAAATATTGTGTATAATTTAATTATGGTAGGTATCCTTTTTTGAAAAAGAATCACTTAAATTTCGTTTTGTATCTTACACATTAACTTTAAGTTGAAATAATAATTCTATATTTAGTACAAGCTTTGTATCTGACCTTATTTGCAAACAATATACATTATTATAGGTATCTTTAATTAAATTTTGTGTATAACTCAGTTATGGTAGGTATTCTTTTTTAAGAATGAAATAATTAAATAAACATTTTGTATCTTATATTTATATTATATTAAAGGAAATAGTATTAAAAAGCGAACAAGTGGACAAAGGAAAAAGACAAGAAAAATTAAGGTTTGGTGGTTAACAAATTTTAATTAACCACAAAAAACATTGAAAAATTAAAAAAAAATGCCAAAAACTAAAAAATGAAAGATTCGTATCATTTCTTCAAAACTCACACATACAAAATTGATTTACACATGCCTTTTTTAAATATTAGGATTTCATATACATAAAAATTGATTTACTATGATAGTATTTCCTTAGAAATCTTTATTTAAGCAACTTTTCTTTAGGGTTGGTGTCACGATCCGGATTTTTCACCCTCAGAAGTCGTGATGGCGCCTACTCGTAGAAGCTAGGCAAGCCACGAAATATAGAAAATTCAATCTCTTTCATTTTTAACTCTTTTTAACAAATTGAATTAACATGTGATCAACATTTAAATAATAGCGAAAGATGAAATTAAGCAGAAGATTTAGACTATATAATACCAAAATCAGTACGAAAATGCCAACATGCGTCTCTACCTAGAAACCGGTGTCACAATATCCACGGACTGGCTATGAATACTTACATACAAATGTCTGAACAAGGAAATATAGTCTGTCTCGGAAATAAGTGGGAACAGAAAATATAAATAGATAGAAGAGAACGTCGGGCCTGCGGGCGCCTGCAGGACTACCTCGGGATCTCTAAGTGGACTGAAGGCTGGCTCCCCAAGTGCTACTGTCCAAATGCTTCTCCGGTATCTGCACATAGTGCATAGTGTAGCATGAGCACAACCGACCCCATGTGCTGGTAAGTGTCTGGCCTAACCCCGGCGAAGTAGTGATAAGGTTAGGACCAGACTCCAGATAAACCTGTGCAGTTATGTAATATATAGCAAAAAAAAATAGGAATAAACAATGTAAATGGGAAGGGGTACATGCTACGCGGAACCTATCAAATCCAACAGAAACTAAAAAGTGATAAGAGGGAATAGTTCAAGTTCTACAACAAATAATAATAACACTATTGCGGCGCACAACCCGATCCCTTATCATTTAACACTGTTGCGGCGTGCAACCCAATCCATTTATATTACTGTTGCGGCGTGCAACCCGATCTAATATAACATTATTGCGGCGTGCAACCCGATCCGATATAACATTGTTGCGACGTGCAACCCGATCCAATATAATATTGTTGCAGCGTGCAACCCGATCCAATATATAATAATGTTGCAGCGTGCAACCCAATCCATTTATATAACTGTTGCGACGTGCAACCCGATCCAATATAACATTGTTGCGGCGTGCAACCCGATCCAATATATTTATATACCTTAAACTCAACCATAACACGAGTCCCGGCAAGAGATCAACAATAAACTACACTATCCCAGCAAGGGAATTCAATAGTAAAAGTATATACGTCCGGCAAGGGAGAATCAGCTATAACCAATCTTAACTCAATCCATACTCATCCCAGCTAACACCAATACTCAATCATAATTACTTTCCACAAAAATAAACTAAATCCTTGCTCAATATCGAGAATCACCATTAAAGCATGTGTAGTATCATTTAAGAACACAACAAATATCAATTTAAGACTCACGATCATGCTCGACACCAACGTATAGATACTCATCATCATGCCTATACGTCCTACTCAACAAGAAGCAACTAGCAAATAGGACACAACTCTTAATCCCTCAAGCTAAGGTTAGACCGAACACTTACGTCGAACTTCCACGGCCAAATCAAGCCTCAAACAATGCCTTTCCTTTCGAATTCGGCTCCAAATCAATTGTATCTATACATAATCGACTTCATAACATCAATAAACGCTATACAATCCAATTCCAATGCTTAATTATAGCTTTCTAATCATTCTTCCCAAAAAGTCAAAAATTGACCCCGTGCCCGCTTGGTCAAAATACGAGGTTCGGACCAAAACTCGATCACCCATTCACTCACGAGCCCGAATATATAATTTATTTTCAAATCCGACCCCAAAACGAGGTCAAATTCCCAAACAATCAAAAAGCTCTAACTCTACCCAAATCTCTAATTTTCTACCCTTAATAACATGTTTTAGGCCTAGAAATCTAGTGGGTGTTGATAAAAGTGGAAGAAAACAAGTTAAAGATTACTTACCCAAGAGGTTATGGTGAAGAAGTTCTTCAAAATCACCCAAGAGGTGTGGAGAAGATGAAGTTTGTGAAAAATAATGAAAATCCCGTAATGTGTTCTGTTTTTGGAACTTAAAATAACTGGGCGGAATTACTCATAAGTTCGCGACAGGTCCATCGCGTTCGCGATGGGTTAGGCCTACTAGGCCTTCGCGTTCGCGGAGAAATGAACCCTCGAGCCTTCGCGTTCGCATCTATGTGGTCGCGTTCGCGTAGGTTTAATGCCCCACCCCCTGCCCAGGCTCAATTAGCCTTCGCGTTCGCGTTACTAGGCCCGCGTTCGCGAAGGGAAGACCCCCCAACGCCTCGCGTTCGCGACCTGGGTTACGTGTTCGCGTAGAAGGAATTTCCTTCAGCATAATTATCACATCGCGTTCGCGAGGGTCCTCCCGCGAACGCGAAGAAGGAAATATCAGAATACCAACAGCTGAAAACCTACAGCTTTTTAAGAGTTTAAAACCTTCCGAAACACATCTGAAACTCACCTGAGCCCTCGGGGCTCCAAACCAAACATACGTACTAACTCGAAAACACCCTATGAACTTATCCGTGCGATCAAATCGCCAAAGTAACATCATTAACATCGAATTAAACCTCAAAATCAATGAATTATTTCAAATTTCTTAAAACATCAATTTTTGCAATTTAGGTCCGAATCACGTCAAATGACATCTGTTTCTTACCAAACTTCACAGAGTTATCTTAAATCACATATAAGACCTGTACCGGGCACCGGAACCAAAATACGGGCCCGATACCAACATGTTCTAATAAAAATTCATTTTAAATTTCGTTAAACAATTTCAGAAAACAATTTTCTTTAAAAAAATTCATTTCTTGGTCTTGGGACCTCGGAATCGATTCCGGGCATACGCCCAAGTCCCATATTTTCCTACGGACCTTCCGGGACCGTCACATCACGGGTCCAGGTCCGTTTACCTAAAACGTTGACCGAAGTCAAATTAACTCATTTTATAGTCAAAACCTATCATTTTCATAGATTTTCATATTTAGGCTTTCCGGCTACGTGCCCGGACTGTGAACGCAAATCGAGGTGATGCTAAATGAGGTTTTCAAGGCCTCGGAACACATAATTCAATTTAAAAGCAAGTAATGACCTTTTGGGTCATCACATTCTCCACCTCTAAAAATAACTGTTCGTCCTCGAACGGACATAAGAAGGAAGTACCTGAGTCGGGGAAAAGATGGGGATAACGGCTGCGCATATCGGACTCGAACTCCCAGGTCGATGCCTCAGGAGGGTGACCTCTCCACTGAACATGAACAGAAGGAAAACTCTCCGACATCAACTGACGAACCCCCCGGTCTAGAATAGACATCGGCTCCTCCTCATAAGACAAGTCCTTGTCCAACTGGACAATGCTGAAATCTAACACGTGGGATGGATCGCCGTGATACTTCCAAAGCATGGACCCATGAAACACTGGAT